CAAAAAAAAAAAAAAAAAAAAAAAAAATTGGTCGGGTATGGTAGTGCTTACCTGTGGTCCCACCTACTGAGGAGTCTGCGGTGGGAAGATTGTCTGAGCCCAGGAGGCGGAGGTTGCAGTGGGCCGAGACTGCGCCACTGCACTCTAGCCTGAGGGACAAAGCAAGATCCTGTCTCTTTAAAAAAAAATGTACACATATTCAGAAGAAAAAAAAGGGAGTCACCCTCTGCCTCAGCCTCTCCTCACCCAATTTCCCTCATCTGAGGAAGACTACTTTCATGTCTTTGAGCTGTTTCTTCAACACACCCCAAAAGGAACAATCCACGCCTGCGGCCACAGCGCCTCATCATGCAACCGACCTCCCTTCGAGGTTAACCGCAGTGCTTACTAGGAAGAGATGTTCCAGTTCGTCTTAAAAACCCACCAGCCGCTCAAAGGGACCCTTGGGAATATAAACAGGACCCCTGGGATTCTGGCTGCCACTGAGAATCACAGGCTTACCTCTGTGTTTCTAAGTTATAATGACACATATTAATTTATCAATTTTAGACATCATCCCTGACATCTATTAAAGTAGAGCAAAACTCTGACCTGAGACTCCCCTGCCAACATTAGTGTAACACAACTGTTAGTTCATTACGTTATATTTACATTACTATGCTTATGTTAAGTATTCACTGCTGAGCCAAGGAACGTGCTAGATTAAGTTGTGTGACTTACAGTTTTTCATGTTTGCTAGAATTAAGATTTCCTCACTCCTGTGCTTATTTTTCCTATGTAACTGTTGCTGATTCTTTCCACGCCTTCCCCATGCCAATCAACTCAACCTGTCAGAGAACCGGCTTTCCTTCCCTGGGGATCCTTCGGGAGCCTTTCTGCCAGTGCCCTGGCCTGCAGGCTGCTCTCGGACTGTGCACAGCCAGCCTTCTACGACAATATTCCCAAACCTTTTCTAATATTCTTCTTAACTCTGGCTTTCAAAGTGCAGACTTCTCTCTAAATCATCTTCAATGTGAAGATTTAAGTTACCTTTTTAGAAATTATTGTCCTACCAGGACAGAGGGCTTTCTCTTTTAATTTTTTTTTTTTTTTTTTGAGACGGAGTTTCACTCTGTTGCCCAGGCTGGAGTGCAGTGGCAAGATCTCAGCTCACTGCAACCTCGCCTCCTGGGTACAAGCAATTCTCCTGCCTCAGCCTCCTGACTGGCTGGGATTACAGGTACCCGCCATCACGCCCAGCTAATTTTTGCATTTTTAGTAGAGACAGCGTTTCACCGTGTTGGCCAGGCTAGTCTCAAACTCCTGACCTCAGGCGATTCACCCACCTTGGCCTCCCAAAGTACTGGAATTAACAGGTGTAAGCCACTGCACCCAGCTTGATTTTTACTTTTAGAGACCAAGTCTTGCTCTGTTGCCCAGGCTGGTCTCGAACACCTGGCCTCAAGTGATTCTCCTGCCTTGGCCTCCCAGTGTTAGGATTACAGGTATGAGCTACTGTACCTGGCCAGGATGGAGGACTTTCAGATTAGTTCTTCAATTCAGAATGGACTATTTCCAGACCAAGAAAATAGTCTGTAGTAAACCACAGTTTTATGGGGATTATGCAAACAGCAAAAAACAGGACCAGATTTTCATTCAGAAAATGTCAGAGGTGTTACAGGCATCAGCCTGAGGCAGGGTCCACATACCCCTGCAGGAAGTAAGGCTTCACAGCACAGAGCATGGCAGAGGCCCCTGAATGCCCCAGGAACTCACGAGAGGGCAAAGGACCCACAGAACCAGGCTCTGACCTCCTCTCATTTTCTTTCTCACGGGCTCCAAATCCTCCTGATCCTGGGGCTCCAATGAAGACGATGACACAGCCTTTCTGTCTGGGAGAGCTGAGGCAAAGGTGGAGATTTCATCACTTGCCACGGAGGGACCACCTCCTTTAGGGAAGTTGCCAGCACCCTCAGACCCTGTGAGAGGAATCAAACAAGACAGGTGCTGACTTGTCCACCTCAGGAGAGAACCACACCTGTAAGGTGTCACTGACTGAAACCCAGTGCAGCTGGCAACCTGAGATGTCATAGTTTACAAATGACAAATGGCTTACCAGGAGTGTGTGCTCACTCAACTAACATCTTAACTGTATCTGTGCCCATCTCTGTGTGTGGTGGAGCTGGGGGCAAGCAGCACACTGGCAGAGGAACAAATGCAGAGATCTGTGACCAGGCTCAGCCCTTGAGCGCTGAGTCCTAACGGAGGGCAAATCCACACACCGGTGGCCAGATGATGCACACCGTATCGTAAACAGTGTTAAGATAGAGATCTGGGGGCCAGGCGTGGTGGCTCACACCTATAATCCCAGCACTTAGGGAGGCTGAGGCGAGGCAGATCACCTGAGGTCGGGAGTTGGAGACCTCCTGACATACATGGAGAAACCCTGCCTCTACTAAAAAAAAAAAAAAAAAAAAAAAAAATTAGCAGGCGTGGTGTCACATGCCTATAACAACAGCTACTCGAGAGGTTGAGGCAACAGAATTGCTTGAACCTACCAGGTGGAGGTTGTAGTGAGCTGAGACAGCGCCACTGCACTCCAGCCTGGGCAACAAGAGGGAAGCTCCATCTTCAAAAAAAAAAAAAAAAGTCTGTAATCCCAGCACTTTGGAGGCCAAGGCGAGTGGATGACCTGAGGTCATGAGTTTGAGACCAGCCTGGCCAATATGGTGAAACCTGTCTCTAGTAAAAATACAAAAAATTAGCTGGGCATGGTGGCAGGTACCTGTAATCCCAGCTACTTGGGAGGGTGAGGCAGGAGAATTGCTTGAACCTGGGAGGCAGAGGTTTACAATGAGCCAAGATCGAGCCACTGCACTCCAGCCTAGACAAGGGCAAAACTCCCTCTCAAAAAATAAAAATAAAAATAAAAAATAGAGGTCTGAGGCCGGGCCTGGGGCTCACGCCTGTAATCCCAGTACTTTGGGAGGCTGAGGTGGGAGGATCACTTGATCCCAGGAGTTTGAGACCAGCCTGGGAAACACAGCAAGACCCCATCTCTAGAAAAAATGCAAAAGGCCGGGCGCGGTGGCTCATGCCTGTAATCCCAGCACTGTGGGAGGCCGAGGCGGGTGGATCACGAGGTCAAGAGATCGAGACCATCCTGGTCAACATGGTGAAGCCCCGTCTCTACTAAAAAACTACAAAAAATTAGCTGGGCATGGTGGCGCGTGCCTGTAATCCCGGCTACTCAGGAGGCTGAGGCAGGAGAATTGCCTGAACCTAGGAGGCAGAGGTTGCGGTGAGCCGAGATCGCGCCATTGCACTCCAGCCAGGGTAACGAGTGAAACTCTGTCTCAAAAAAAAAGAAAAAATGCAAAACAAAAAACTTAACAGGGTGCGACAGTGAGAACGTATGGTCCCAGCTACTCAGGGCTAAGGCGGGAGGATCACTTGAGCCCAGGAGGTCAAGGCTACAGTGAGCTAGGATCACACCACTCCCAACCTGGGCAACAGAGCAAGACCTCGTTTCTTTTAAAAAAAAAAACCACACATATATATGTGTCTGTGTAAAGCACACACAATTCAGTGGAGAGAGGCATCGTACTGCGTGTGAACTATTTTACAAGAGGTGAGACAACAGGAAGGAGACAGAGCAGTGACTTGTAGGGACAGCTCTATCTCCAGGAGCAAGAAGCCAGAGTTGTAACAACTGGAATGACCTTGGCAGAAAAATAGGCAAACTTTCTAATCACCGTTTTTTTTTTTTTTTTTGGAGACAGGGTCTCACTCTTCACCTGGGCTGGAGTGGAATGGTGAGAGCTCCACTGACTGTAACCTCCACCTCCTGGTCTAAAGTGATCCTCCCACCTCTGCCTCCCAAAAGTAGGTGGGACTACAGGTGTGCACCATCACGCCTGGCTAAATTTTTTTTGTATTTTTGGTGGAGACAGGGTCTTGCCACGTTACCCAGGCTGGTCGCAAACTCCTGAGCTCAAACAATCCAACTACCTTAGCCTTCCAAAGTGCTGGGATTACAAGTGTGAGTAACCTGTATCTTACTAAGGACCTAGTTTATAATATTGTAGCATAATGTGTATCTAGTTTACGGTATTCAAACATGTTCTTATTTGAAAAAACAAACTGGCTTATAAGAGCTGAAAGAAAACAGCATAGTTTTGGGAACAAATCACCTCATACACCAACAACAGGAAAGAGGCAGCCTGTGGGCTGGCTCCCAGCTGCCACCCACTCAGGCCATGATTGCCAGCACCCTATGCTCACTGGGCATCTAATCCCCGGAATGAAGGGATGACAGTGGCGCTTCTGTGGCAGTTCCTAACATGGTGAGGAGCACCATCTTATCACTTACAAAACACACCTAACACACCGTCTCACATTTAGTGGCCCCTCAGTAAGCGGTAACTATAATTGTTTTGTTGGTATGCATGCACTTAGGCATACAGATGGAAGAATTCTTATTTTTTATTATTTTATTTTATTTTTTTGGCAGGGAGACAGAGTCTTGCGCCGTCGCCCAGGCTAGAGTGCAGTAGCACGATCTTGGCTCATTGCAACCTCCGCCTCCTGGGTTCAAGTGATTCTCCTGCCTCAGCCTCCCAAGTAGCTGGGATTACAGGCACTGCCAACCATGCCCAGCTAATTTTGGTATTTTTAGTAGAGATGGGGTTTCACTGTGTTGGCCAGGCTGGTCTCAAACTCCTGACCTCGTGATCCTCCCACCTTGGCCTCCCAAAGTGCGGGGATTATAAGCGTGAGTCACCGTGCCCGGTCTCTTTTTTTTTTTTTTTTTTTTAAAACAGCGTCTCTGTCACCCAGGCTGAACTGCAGTGGCGAGCCCTCGGCTCACTGCAACCCCCGCCCCCCAGTGTCAGGTGATCCTCCTGCCTCAGCCTCCCGAGTAGCTGAGACTACAGGCACCCACCACCACACCAGGCTAATTTTTGTGTTTTTAGTAGAGACAACAGGGTTTCACCATGTCGGCCAGGCTGGTCTCAAACTCCTGACCTCCAAGTGATTTGCCTGCCTTGGCCTCCCAAAGTGCTGAGATTATAGGTCTTTTTTCTTTTTTTGAGATAAGTTCTGGCTTTGTCTCCAAGGCTGGAGTGCAGTGGTCCAGTCTCAGCTCACTCCAACCTCCACCTCCTAGGCTCAGGCAATCCTCCCTCCTCAGCCTTCCAAGTAGCTGGGATTACAGGCACATGCCACCATGGCCAGCTAATTTTTTTATTTTTTGTAGAGACAGAGTTTCACCATGTTGCCAAGGCTGGTCTCAAACTCCTGGGCTCAAGGGATTTGCCCGTCTCAGCCTCCCAAAGTGCTGGGATTACAGGTGTGCACCACTCTGCCCAGCACTGGAACGTTTTCATCTTGAAGTGTTATTCTCTTCCACTCACACATTTAAGGTTATGTTAAAACAAAACTAAATTAAAGAGGCTTTGAGAAGTTGGGGTTGTGTTTAGAGTCTACAGGAGACAGGCCAGTAGGAAATGTTTGTCACGGGTTTGGTCTAAGCAGTTCCTCTAATCTCCAGAAGTAACAGGTGAAAACTACACAGCACTCACTCTCCACAGTCTTGTCTGCAACTTAGTTTCCCTAATTAGCACCCAAGAAGCCCTCCCAGGTGTGTCCTGAATTCACATCGGAATGTCACAAAACATGTGAATGTTACTCTTCAGATGGTTGGCGGGATGTTGTGTCAGAGTGAGGTATGCTTTTAGAACACTCTGCTGTTGGTGACCAGCCTGGCCAACGTGGTGAAACTCCATCTCTACTAAAAACACAAAAATTAGCTAGGTGTGGTGGCGGGCGCCTATGATCCCAGCTACTCAGAAGGCTGACGCATGAGAATTACTTGAACCCAGGAGGCAGAGCTGCAGTGACCTGAGATTGTGCCTCTGCACTCCAGCCTGGGCGACAGAGAGTGACTCGGCCTCAAAAAAAAAAGCCAGACACAGTGGCTCACAGCTGTAATCCCAGCACTTTAGGAGGCCAAAACGTGTGCATCATGAGGTCAGGAGTTCACGAGCCTGGCCAATATGGTGAAACCCCGTCTCTACTAAAAATACAAAGATTAGCTGAGCATGGTGGCAAGTGCCTGTAGTCCCAGCTACTCGGGAGGCTGAGGCGGGAGAATCGCTTAAACCCAGGAGAGGGAGGTTGCAGTGAGCCAAGATTGCACCACCACACTCTAGCCTGGGTGACAGAGTGAGACTCCATCTCAAAAAAATAAAAATACAAAAATAAACTAAAGTTAAAAAAAATTATATGTATAGGGCAATTCAACTTAAAGAAAACATATGTCCACATTTTCCATGTAACACCAACATGAAAACATTCCCATCACACTGCACCCAGATGGAATTCTTCTCAATTACCAGGGAGGAGATAAAAGAGCTCATGCTATAAGAAACAGCATCTATAAAACTGGTACACCCTCTTCGGCCGGGCACGGTGGGTCACGCCTGTAATCCCAGCACTTTGGGAGGCCGAGGTGAGCGGATCACCTGAGGTCGGGCGCTCGAGACCAGCCTGACCAACGTGGAGAAACTCCATCTCTAAAAAAATAAAAATAAAAATAAATAAATACACCCTCTTCTGGATAAACTCTGAAAACATCATGCTAAGTGAAAAAGCCCAGTCACAAAGGACCATGCTGGATTCCATGACCATGAAATGTCCGGAACAGACAAATCTCGAGATCAAAAGCACGTGCAGCTGCCAGGGGTTGGGGGAAGGGGACGGGGGTGACTGCTGATGGGCACCGATTTCCTCTGGTGCTAGGAAATGGTGATGGTCCCACAACCTTGTGATATACTAAAATCCACTGAAACATATGCTTTATCTGGATGCCTTTGATGGTACGTCAATTTTAATCTCAATGAAACTGTAAAACACACTATGGTACTGGAGTCGCTGACCTTCACTTCTCCTGGGGATGGAACAACACGGTCAATGTTGACCACCACGAAACCTTACTACTGAGAACTTGGTCGCTTATCTGTCTCTGTAACAACACAGTAAAGAGTAGTGAACAAAAGCTATGTAACCAGCACCAAGACCTCATGAGATGGAACCTCACCGCAACTGGAGGAACGCTCCCGCCCTGCAGGAGGCGGCTCCGTGGAAGAGGCAGAGGCTGTGGGGAAGAGGTCTGACGTCGATGTTGATGGCTGTGGTTCCTCAAAGCACACCTGAGCAGCGGGTGACGCCGGTGGGACCTGGGGATCGGCCCCTCGCCCTGCACCTGAGGTATCTTTGGTCCCATGGAACACATTTTCCTTATTAGCTTCTGTAATCCAAAAGGAGCAGAAAAAGCACGCATCCAGGGCTCAGGCAGACACTCTAGGGACTGAAACGCTCAAGAATTCAACAGCCCCAGAGAGGCACGGTGGCTCACACCTGTAATTCCAGCACTTTGTGAGGCCAAGGCAGGCAGATCCCAAGGGCAGAAAATCAAGACCATACTGGCAAACACAGTGAAAGCCCATCTATACTAAAAATACAAAATATTAACCGGGTGTGGCGGCACACGCCTGTAATCCCAGCTACTCGGGAGGCTGAGGCAGGAGAATCGCTTGAACCTAGGAGGTGGAGGTTGCAGTGAGCCGAGATCACGCCACTACACTCCAGCCTGAGCGACAGAGCAAGACTCCATCTCAAAAAAAAAAAAGTATACAAAAAATTAACCAGGTGTGGTGGTGCACGCCTGTAGTCCTAGCTACTTGGGAGGCTGGAGGAGGTGAATCGCTTGAACCTGGGAGCTGGAGCTGAGATTGCGCCACTGCACTCCAGCCTGAGCAACAAGAGGGAAACTCAGTCTCAAAAAAAAAAAAAAAAAAAAAAAAAAAAAAAAAAAAAAAAAAAAAAAGAATGCGACAGCCACTAATATGCATCTGCTTTGCTATAATCTTACTTACCAAAGGATTCTTGTGTCATGCCTTGCTTTTCATTTAAAGATTCATAGAGATATGCCACATCTAAAAGAAAATTAATCAAGTCAGGGAAGTGGCGGCCCCGTGCAAAGGGAGAACTCAAATTTTTTTCTCTGTTCCCTCCAGTCATTTGATTTTGTTGATTATTTTGACTCATCAGCTAATAACAAATTCATTCAAACAAGGTATCTAAAACATCTTTACTAACACAAAAGAAATAAGCCTCGGGGAAAAATGGCATCAGGAGGCAGACCAAGGTGAAGAATCTACGCCTCACTTATAATTTCACACCACAAAAAGGAGCAGATACAAGATCCTTCCGTGCGGCAGGGGATGGTTAAGGTTATGCTGAAGATGCCTAAAACATATTTGCTCCACTCTTCCTCACCATTGTGGTCTTTAAGTATTTCAGGCGTGGCTGGGTACAGTGGCTCATGTCTGTAATCCCAACACTTCGGGAGGCTGAGGCAGGCAGATCACCTGAGGTGATCAGGAGTTTGAGACCAGCCTGGACAACATAGTGAACACCATCTCTACTAAAAACACAAAAATTAGCTGAGCATGGTGGCACCCGCCTGTAGTCCCAGCTACTCAGGAGGCTGAGGCAGAAGAATCGCTTGAACCCAGGAGGCGGAGGTTGCAGTGAGCCGAGATTGCACCACTGCACTCTAGCCTGGGCAACAGGGTGAGACTCTGTCTCAAAAAAAGTTAAATAGGCTGGGCGCAGTGGCTCACACCTGTAACCCCAGCACTTTGGGAGGCCAAAGTGGGCAGATCACGAGGTAAAGAGATTGAGGCCGGGCGCGGTGGCTCAAGCCTGTAATCCCAGCACTTTGGGAGGCCGAGGCGGGTGGATCACGAGGTCAAGAGATCGAGACCATCCTGGTCAACACGGTGAAACCCCGTCTCTAATAAAAATACAAAAAATCAGCTGGGCATGGTGGCGTGTGCCTGTAATCCCAGCTACTCAGGAGGCTGAGGCAGGAGAATTGCCTGAACCCAGGAGGCGGAGGTTGCGGTGAGCCGAGATCACACCATTGCACTCCAGCCTGGGTAACAAGAGCGAAACTCCGTCCCAAAAAAAAAAAAAAAAAAAAAAAAAGAGATTGAGACCATCCTGGCCAACATGGTGAAACCCTGTTTCTACTAAAAATACAAAAATTAGCTGGGCGTGGTGGTGGCACGCGCCTGTAATCCCAGCTACTTGGGAGGCTGAGGCACGAGAATCACTTGAACCCAGGAGGTGGAGGTTGCAGTGAGCCGAGATTGCGCCATTGCACTCCAGCCTGGCGACAGAGCAAGACTCCGTCTCAAAAAAAAAAAAAAAAAGTTAAATAAATCAATATTTCAGGGTGACCTTCGAAGAACTCCCATAACTTTCCTTATCCTATACCATGTTCCACAGAACAAAAACACAGACACCTGGAGCTGAGAAAGTCTTATTGGAATCCAGTCTAACCTCCAATGTTTCTCATAAGGTCTCCAAAAACAGGACCGTCAATGGCCTCCAGACCCCTGGTCCTAGGTTTTACTCCCCATGACTCAAGTTCCTCTCCTGTATAACCTAACCCATCGCCACTAGTTTCTCCTTGGCTGCCATTTTGGGATTTGCTGCTCATGGCCATAGTGGTATTCCTGAGGAATGGCTGTGACTCAGGCTGCAAAGTCAACACTCCCATTCCTCAGCAGACACTATTCACATCAGGAACCTACATGACCAATAAAGGGGATGTTGCCAGGAGGAACGTTCCTACGGGAAGGATCTGCTGCACAGGCTCTCTCTGAAGATGCCTCCCAGCCTCAGCAGAGCGTACCCCCGAGCAGGTCTGACCCCAGCAAGCCCTCCTCTCTCTTACTGTGTTCCGGCTCATTCTTCCTGTACACCAAGTAGATGACATCCCCAGTCTGTAGAGGGCATGTCTGCTTCTTAACAACCTTCAGCTTGTTAATCACTGTTCCATTGGTGCTGAAAAAAACAAAAACACAATTTATCCTACTTAAAATAGCTCGGAGTTACAAATTTTTTTTCTAGCACCATTAGCAAACAGGCTCAACATGACCGTCTGGAGATCCTCACAGGAATGGTGTCGATATTTAACGATGCACGCATGCATGCACCCTCGCCAATCTCTCGAGAAATGGCTCGCCCACTTCTCCCTGACAACCTAACCAGCAGCCACACCTCCTCACGTCCTTGGCACCTGTGCTGCTGCAGGGCCGGGTTCTCTCCCATGTGCCTCCTGGTGGACTCCGAAGCCTCGTCCCACAGTGTGGTGCTTCCATCCCCAGTCACCCCGAGTTGGACCTGTGCTATCCACAGTTCCATTCCTCGTGGCCATCACGACCCCAGAGCTCATGCCTCAAATAAGTACTGACTCCTCCCAAGAGACTGGCTCTGGGCAGCAGAGTAAGTGCTGGGCCATTAGCTGCAAGACGTGGCCCTGCGCTCAGAACCTGTGGTTTGGTTGCCAAGCCCCTCGAGGCAATCTGGCCTGGGGAGAGGCCAATGAAGACGCTGCTGACCCAGGGACGGACAGGAGGAAACTAAGTCAAGGGGGCAGGAAGTGCCTCCAGGGGACTTCTGAACAGAGACCTGACAGAAAATCAGGCACTGGTTGGGTGATGAAGGTCCAAGAGCACAGCATACCGACACACAAAACCACAACCAAGCAAACCGACCCATTTCAGTCAAAGCACACGGCCTCAGCTCTGCAGCTCCACTCTCAAGGCCCCAGCAGTGGACAGAATTCACATCTGAGTGGCCACCACAGCCTGCTGAGGTACGAGAGTGGCAAACGAGTATTGTAAACAGACGGTAAACAGTGTAGGTTTTGTGGTCACCTGGTCTCCAGTCACCACTGCTGCTACTCAGCTCTGCCACCCGTAGCAGGAAAGCAAACGCAGACAGTAAGCAAATGAGCTGCCATGGCCATCTCCCCATAAAACCTTCAAAACCAGGCAGTGGCTGTGTCTGCTGTTGCAGTACAAAGCTGACCCTGGAAGACACAGGTTTGAGCTGTGCAGTGCACTTATACACGGGCTTTTTTCACCTGGAGGGACGCGAAACCCACACATCTGCTGGACCGACTTTCTGTACCCTCGTGTTGTGCAGGGCTGGTTACAGGGCTTGAGTGCGCACGGGTCTGGGTGCATGCAGGAGCGCAGGAGCCAATCCCCCCGGATGCCAAGGGGCGACTGCAGTCATCACTCATCCTCACGCTCTTTCCAAACAAAAATCTGCTTATTTCACTTCCCTCGATGACTCCTCACTGCCCTCAGGCTAAAGCCCAAGCTCCCTCTGCCGCTCACCACACACTCTGACCATACAGCCTTGCTCATGCTTGGGGGTCCCCACACGTGTTTCTTCTGCCTGAGCATCCACCCCTAAGCCCACCTCTGCCAAGGAACGTAACACCTCTGGAAGCTGGAAAACGCAGAGAACAAATTCTCCCCTGGAACCTCAAGAAGAAACCAGCCCTGTACAGAGCTTGATTTTAGCCCCATCAGATCTATGTTGGACTTTGGACCTCCCTAACTCTTGTAAGACAATAAATCTGTGTTTTATAAATCCACTAAGTTTGTGGCAATAGCCACAGGAAACTAACACCCCCATACAGTCAGTCCATGGAAGCTAAGCCCTGGTACCGGTGGGACGGCCCAGGGCCAGCACCCAGCATGGGGAAGCCAGGCCCTGAAGCAGGTGGGACGGCCCAAGGCCAGCACCCAGCGTGGGGAAGCCAGGCCCTGGTACAGGTGGGATGGCTCAGGACCAGCACCCAGTGCAGGGAAGCCACACCCTGGTACAGGTGAGATGACACAGGACCAGCACCCAGCACGGGGAAGCCACACCCTGGTACAGGTGGGATGGCCCAGGACCAGCACCCAGCACGGGGAAGCCACACCCTGGTACAGGTGGGACGGCCCAGGACCAGCACCCAGCCCAGGGAAG